GCAAGCCAGACATGGTAACACAGGTTTATAATCCCAGCATTAGAATGTAAAGGCAGGAGGATCAGAATTTGAAGGCCATCCTCCATGCTACACATGAATTTGAAAAATGGAAAAAGATGGAAGAATAGTGGGAGTATTGGAGGGTTCATTGCTTGGTTGTAGGAGGGCAGCAGGTAGAAAGATGAGACTTAATGTAATGCATTAGTTGTACCTCAGTTCCAAACCCCCAACGACCAACTTATAAAGCTCATTAGGCAATAAAGTTGCACTCTTGGGTCTCGCTTTAATGGTCCTTGCAAAAGGAAAACAATTCCAAGGTGCTTCAGAATTGCTAGAAAAACAAAATAAGACCACAGAAGTAAAAGGCAGCCAGCATTAAAAGCATAGACTGGCTGGGTGTGGTGGCTCACACTTAAAAACCCAGCACTCAGGAGGTTGGGGTAGGAAGGACCAAAGCAGGTTGGGATCAACCTGGGATACACAATGAGTTCCAGGCCAGCATGGGCTACACAGTGAGAGCTTATCTAAAAAAAAAAAAAAAAAGGGGGGGGGGAGTTTCAGTGCATAAGGGGCTTACATAAGGATGGGTTCAGAGCCCCTAGAACCTATGTAAAAGCCAGGCATGGTGACTGCCTATGATCTCAGCATTCAGGAGGCAGAGATGAGATCCCTGAGGCAAGCTCCAGGTTCAGCAAGGAACCCCACCTCAGTAAATAGAGTGATTGAGGAAAAAACCATCATACATATGAGGGGGAAAGCATTTTCAAAAGTGTAGTTAAGAATCCACTGAAGCAGGCCGGGCGGTGGTGGCGCACGCCTTTAATCCTAGCACTCAGAAGGCAGAGGCAGGCAGATCTCTGTGAGTTCGAGACCAGCCTAGTCTACAAGAGCTAGTTCCAGGACAGCCTCCAAAGCCACAGAGAAACCCTGTCTCGAAAAACAAAACAAAACAACCCACTGAACCTGAGTTTGTCTGGTAAGCTTGTAGTGTCTGGGTATAGCTGATTGTTGTTATCTTTGTCTCAAAAGCCTTTTTGAATGAATAGCAGACCAATTTTTGTCACATGAAGATTTTGGTGCTATTACCATCCTTTGGAACAAAGTCTCAGGATTAACACCCCTCAAAATTGGCTTGTGAGTGACCAGCTAGCTAAAACTAAGAGGGCATACCCTTGCATGGATGTTATTAGGCTGAGACAATGAATCCTTTGTGTATATAGCTATTATTTTACCAATTAGTTTATGTACATGTGGTCACATAAGACAATGGTTTAACACTCAGGAGAGGAGTGGGAATGTGGTCTATGATCATGAACATTTTGGGATAAAGAAGTGGTGTTTGATGAGTGATAAATGAAAGAACAAGCCAGCCCCAATAAGGACCATAATACAAGTATAATGGAGTAAAATTTTACTCTCCTTGCCCCATGCCCTTCCATCCCCCCGATTTTGTATTTTTCCATTAGCACAGCAGCAGCAGGAGCAGCAGCCTCAAGCCCATGCCCAGTATTTATCTACTTTTCTGAAACAGCACTTATCCAACCCAAGGCTCTAAGCAGAGGAAGGGGTACAGTCTGCTCAGTCATGCGGGATACCATGCATGACACATTCTGACAATGTATGAGATAAGGGGATCTTGAGGTAGCTGGCTTCATTGTTCAGTCTTGCTGTAATGCTCAAGTTGTCCTCCTGGGCTCATATGATCCTTTCCTCTTGCCTTAGGCTCCTATGGAGCCAGGTGATTGGCACATGTCAAGGCACCCAGCTGAGGCTGCTGTTTTAACGTGGCAAATTTATTTTAATTCTTGTGGTGCTGGAAATTGAACCCAAGACTGATTACACTAAACAAATGCTCTACTATGGAACTACACCCTGAGGCCAACAACTTGGTCATTCTAAAGTGAAAGTACTCTCTCCCAATCTAAAAGCTAGCCAACTAAACGTTGCTTATTTTTACCTTCTAAATAATGTAAAGACTGTGCTCACTTAGACCACCATCCCAAAAGAAGACGTGGCAATGACAGTATTTTATGTGCTTTTAGTAGAGAGCAAGCAGCTTGACATCATGGGGCCACTTTGATACTATGTTACCAACATCAAGTTCTACCAAGTTCTGACAGCTTGTAGAAATGCTTCTTTATAAAGCCTACAAACAGCTCATGGTGAGCCTGGGCACATTAGGAACTTTGTGCCTTTAAGTACCAATGGCTGAATCTCGCCAATAGCTTTGCCCTTTGGCCTTGAAAGTCCTTAGAGCCAGGCAGCTGGCAGGAGGCCAGTTCAGCTGCATCCTTTTAGGGATCCAAGAGTTTAGAACACCCAACACAACTTACTAAATGAAGGAGTTTTCTTGGGAGCTCATCTTAAATTCAGGAGTCAAGTGTAATCCCAGCATTACTTGGGAGGCAGAGGCAGACAGGTACTATGAAATCAAGGCCAGCCAAGGCTACACAGTGAGGCAATGTCTAAAAGAAAAATACTGAGTATTTCCAAAGCTCACAAATATGTTTTTAAGAAAGCTAATTCTTAGATGGGCAGTAGTGGCATATACCTTTAATCCCAGAACTTGGGAGCCAGAAGCAGGCAGATCTGAGGTCAAGATCAGCCTGGTCTACAGAGAGAGTTCCAGGACACCCAGGGCTACAAAGAAACCCTGTCTCAAACAACCAAAAGAATTTTTGTTTTCATTTATGCATGTTCATGTGTGTGTGCGCACACACCTATTCACACATGGAGGCCCAGAGGACACAGGTCCCTCAGAGCTGGAATTACAGTCATTTACAGAATGCTGGGATCCAAACTTGTCTTGTGCTCATGATTATTCAATAAGTGCTCTTAGTTGGTGCTGTTCATTAGCACCACGAAGGTTAGAATGTGGTACTTACTGTTTTTGGTGACCCACTAAGAAAGACTTCTTTGAAGACAAACTCAAGAAAAGTGTGTTTTGCTCTGATGGGCCTGGCAGCCTGGAGCTAGTATAGTTAACCCTACCATAAAATTCACCTTGAGTTTTCCTATCTCCCCACAAAGGAAAAAATGGTGAACAGGGTTTGGAGAATACCCAGATCATTACACCAACAACAACAGCACCTATACATAACACACTGGCTTCAAGGATGAGAGAGTAAAGAGACAGATGGTTAGAACCACTGTTTTCCTTTTTTGGCACATAAGCTTCCTTATTAAAAAGAATGATTGGAATTAAGGAATATTTGATTTGGCTGAAGAGACAGGAGTGTTAGGGATAACTAAGTAACAATAACTGAACCAGTGTGATGGTACAGACCTATGATCCCAGCACATTAGAGACTAAAGCAGGAGGAGGGTGAGTTTGAAATCAGCCTGGACTATATAGTTGAGGTCCTGTCTCACAGGGGACAAAAAAAAAAAAAAAAAAAAAAAAATGTTGACATTAACAGAAGATATCTGAACACCTACATCAGTGTTCTAGACAGAAAACCAGAAGGCAAAGAATATGCTGGTAGCACAATGGCTTGTGCCATTGGTACCCATTTGAAGATGAAGACCCAAATCTCCAAGGAATGGATGCTGGCCTCTTATGGCTTAATCTTTCAATCACCATTATCTCCAGGTACCTCTTCAATGACAGCAAACAACTAAAATGGTAACAACATGGTCAGTTCACAGAAAAGCCCTCATTTTGAAATAGTCCCTGCTGTTAAGTTGCCTTCCAAGAGACAAGCAAGGAATGCTTCCACAGGTGGTGAAACAGGTTACATGTGGTCTGCCCAGATGAACTCTTGAATAAATGGGATAATATCTATTCTGTTTAAGTCCAGATACCCAAACACAAAGCAGAGAAGAAAGCTCTCCTGCCTTGAACTCTGCCTTTGTTGTGTGAGAGCACACAATTTATACTGTTTCATCTTTAATACACTTGGAGAACAGAAATCAGAACCAGCAAAGACAGCAAAGGCATCAGCACGTTTATTGGGATTATTTACTAAATAATTCATACACACCCAACACTAATACACGGATATGACATTAGCTTTTAACATACAGCAAGGCTCAAAGTAAGGTCCTTCAAGAACTGTAAATACTTCTTAGCATCGAATCTTTAATAAATGGAATGACTAAACTAGCCAAGTCAGATGTATCTCAATCAACTCCAAAACTCAATATTGCCAACATGTTTTTCTACTTAAAAAGCAAACAAAAAAATTACTTGTAATTTAGAAATTAATGTGTTTTTTGGTTTGTTTGTAAATGTCAGTATTTGATGAAGAAAAACACCTAGTCCCCTCAAAACCCAAAGGGGGTTCTCGTAGTCATCAATAAGAATATTGACATTTCCAGCTGACAGATTTCTTCATTAGCATGAACAGGAAGTCTCACAACAGTTCGGACCCTTACTTCATTTCATAGCTGTGTGATTAACCACCAACAAAGCCTCTCCTCCACTGGGTTAAAATACTAGACAAAAACTCACCACAATCCAAGAACCAGGACAGACTCAACATCAGGTGTGGTGGCCAATTACTATTATATAGTATACTATTGTATGGAGGGATACTTTGTTTTCTAATGACAAGTATGTTGAAATTTGTCTCATTAATAGTGCATTTTGTAAGACACATAGAAATGCATTATAAAAAAAATCTATTAACTTGTTCTTACTCTTCTCAATAAATTTAAATATAAAATCTAATTATACAAAGTCTACATTCCTTAACCCTGTATACCAAACAGTGTAAGTGCTAAAAATGAGGAGCATTTAAAGAACAGAAATCTCTCTATTAAGAACCTTAGATACAGGGCTGAAGAGATGGCTCACTGAAGAACACTTGCTGCTCTTGCAGAGGACCTGGATTATTCTCAGCACCCACATGGCAGCTCACAATTTTCTGTAACTCTAGCGACAGGGATCGAACACCTTCTTCTGACTTTTGTGGGCACCAAGCATGTACATGGCACACAAACATACATACAAGCAAAACATTAACAGAATTTAAAAAAGAAGAACTTTAGATACCACTCAGCTTTAGGGATAGATAGAACAAAGAAAAAAACCAAATTTTTAATTCTTTAAAGAAAGAAAATCATTTGGACTCTCAGACTTTATTGAATAAAGCAGGCAGGAAGGGAACCAAACATTTATAAGATATATTTATTATTTTTCTGACCAAAGTGCAATGATTTTTAAAATCTTTTAAAACAAGTAACAATGAAAACAACATATTCCAGAAAATAAAATACAAATGGGAATTTTAACCACTAGATTGCTTTTTCTAATTTATTTTAACTCTGTATTTAGTCTAAGAAAGAAAACAAAAAACTCTTGAAGTGTTATTAAAACAAGAACTGAAACACATTAACATAAACTAGCACGTGCGTGTCAGGGGTCTCCTACTAGGAACTGTGTTAACATCAGTTTAATGATGACTAGCCCTATGTCACAGAGCATAGGAACACAAGTCATTAGACCCTTGCCCCACAGAATATGTCAGAAGAAAGCTGACAATCCTGTCAGGCTCTGAAGTCCCTGTCCCCTGACCCAAACCTTGAGAGCAAAGACTGTGCCCTGTCATACAACTTTGCACAAGCTGTAACAAATCGATGCCTAAGTTTTAACTTTCAACAGAAAATGGTCAGTCATTTGATAAATACTAGAACATTGCTAGGAATCCATTTTATGAGTTTGTTTACTTGTGCAAGAGTTGACTAGACATAAAGTTCCTTTAAATTTGGTCCACAGATTTACTTAACAGGCTGAAAATCTTAAATGTGCAGCAAAAGGAAGAATTCCCAAATCCTAACACATTGCAATTACAAAAGGGATACGCATGCATGCTAAAAAATTTTGCTCACAGAAGGCACAAACATAAAAGGGGTAGTTTTTTAAATACAAACAAGAACTAGCTGATACCCTCTTCATTTTGTGAGCACCATAATACCAAAGATGATTAAACCTGAATTCACTGTGTACTGTGACCACAAATTAAAAATAACACATAATTTGTCTTACTATATATTTCTAGACATTAATTGAGATGTAATTTTGAAAGATTAAAATTGCCTTAAAAGGGGGCTGTGACAGCAGCTATCAAAGCAATATTCAAGCATGATTTCAAAGATGTTTTTTCAGGGTTAGTTACCCTTCTTTGTCAAAAATCTTCGTAACTTCACCAAAAACCTATAAAGGAAAAACACAATTTTTGAAAGCAGATATTGTTAAAAAAAGAAAACAAAAAACAAAAAAACAAAAAAACAAAACCACTGTGTATCATGTGAGAGATCCTGGGTTCAATTCTCAACACCAAAATTAAAAATAAAACAAACTACACATAAAAGACTGTACAAGTTTCTGTTAAAGAAACATCAATTTTGTATTAATTTTAAACATAATTTCTTAATCTATTTCACTTTATCAATAATGCAAATGAATCATAAAGAAGTGTGAAAATGTTGCCTTCAGTTTTGTTAATGCTTTTCTAACAAAATGCACTTCTTGATGGGCAGCTAGTAGTCTGGCAAAATGTATACTCAATTGGCTAATCTCACTTTGACTCTTAAGTCCAAGTCCTCTCATGTACTGACTCACCACTGTAGGAAGTGCCAATGGATGAAATACTCAATGAGCCTTTCTCTGGACCTGCTTTTTTGTCCCATGATTATAAGAGGAAGACGATAGAGAGAATCAGGGAAAGGGAGAGCAGATGAACTCAGAAGCACTAGGGATACCTGCAGGCAGATAGTCACAGACACTAAAGATTGAGCAAGGCCAGAGTCCTTGGAACCCTGCTCCTCCGAAGCTCTGTGTTCTGGGAGAGAGAATAGCTGGGGCCCTTCACTATGACATGCAAGTTGTGCTATAGATTTTAACCACAAACCAGATACAAATCAGTGTATGGAAAATAATTATCTTCTACTGTTTGAGAAAAGAGGCTTGAAATTAATAAATCACCCACTTCTTGTAAAAAACAGGTCTGAAATTGTAAAACCCATTTTAGTCTTTTTTGTTTTGTTTTGTTTTTTGTTTTTCAAGACAGGGTTTCTCTGTGTAGTTTTGGGGCCTATCCTGGCACTCACTCTGGAGACCAGGCTGGCCTCGAACTCACAGAGATCCGCCTGCCTCTGCCTCCCGAGTGCTGGGATTAAAGGCGAGCGCCACCAACGCCCAGCCCCATTTTAGTCTTTTAAAAGGGAAAATAATAAAAACAAACAATCAGGGCTGGAGAGAAGGCTCAGAGGTTAAGAGCACTGTCTGGGGGCTGGAGAGATGGCTCAGTGTTTAAGAGCACCGACTGCTCTTTCAGAGGTCCTGAGTTCAATTCCCAGCAACCACATGGTAGCTCACAACCATCCATTATAAGATCTGGTGCCCTCTTCTGGTGTGCAGATATACATGGAAGCAGAATGCTGTATACATAATAAATAAAATCTTAGAAAAAAAAAAAAAGCAGTGTCTGCTCTTCCAGAGGTCCTGAGTTCAATTCCCAGCAACCACATGGTGGCTCACAACCATCTGTAATGAGATCTGGTGCCCTCTTCTGGCCTACAGGCATACATGCGGACAGGAAACTGCACATAATAAATAAATCTTAAACAAAACAAAACAAAAAAACAATCTAACACCCAACTGACTTTAAAGTTTCCCACTTACCCCAGTGATCACACTTTTATTTGCTGCAAACGCAAGTCAGGTGTACTTACTTCATCAACAGACTTAGAAGCATCTATTTTCTTGACTTTCCCCATTTCTTCATATAAGTCAATAATCGGTTTTGTTGACTGAAGATAAGTTTGAATTCTGCAAGGAAACATGTATTTCAAGATTGTAGGTTATTGTCCTCCCTCTCCCACATTATAGAAAGGCTGATGACAAAGGCTGACTCAAGTGCTTTCTCTCTTTACACAAGCCACTGTGCCTATATAAGCATGATGCTCTTTTTCTGGACAAGAGAGAACAGGAAGTTAATCTGTCACTTGATTTCTATACCAGGACTAAGGTAGTTAAAGTAAAAACTTCCAAGTACCTCTTTTCCAAGCTCTCTCTGTTGTCATCACTCCTGCCACTGCTTTTTCCCCTTTCAAGACATCGTTCAATACAGATCTAAAGAGAGACAGAAGTAAAAAGTTAAAAAAAAGAAAACAACTCAAAAGAAAATATTTTGAAGAGACTAAAACAAAACAAAAATATTCTGCATTAAACTCAATGTGTCTAACTCATTAATCAACATACAAAATCTTTTTAAATTTAAACATGTGGTTCAATTTATATAAACTAGGTTAAATAAGTACAGATCATAATAAGAATTCATTCATGACTCAGTTTTTCCTGCTGTATTTTTTTTCAAACTGCAATAAAAAGAAGATCTGTGTGGGTATGGCTTCATCTCAGACATATTATTAACTCATTAGGTATGAATTGCGTTCCTCAAACTTTGTACCGTTTTTGCCTACTTTACAATAATTCCATAAATATCCAAATATTTGAGTCAACATATTTGAATAAAGCATCTCTTGTTAATCGTGAATAAACATTCCTTAGTTATAAAGCTGTGGTAACATTCTAAAGTTAACTTTGAAGAGTAAGTGAAAACATATTTTTAAGAGTGGGGAAAAGAGAGCTACATTTTAAAACAACTCAAAGGCTGCGGTAAGTCTTTACCAGAGGCACATTTACAATTCAACCTAAGAATAGCCAACTTCCTTCAAGGCATTACTTCAGATTCAGACTGTTGGCATTAATTTAATGAAATTTATAGCACAGTGGTTGTCAAAAAGAATCAAGCTTTTTAATTAAATGGTTCTGAGAAATTTATTTACTCATTCAAAGGTATGTCTGGGTATGCTATTAGAAGTGTGTATCTGTAGGGGGGATGTGTTCTTGCTATTTTCCAAATTTTTTTTTCCTTTTTTTCTCCGAACAGGGTTTGTCTGTACTGCTTTGGAAGCTGTCCTGGAACTCATTCTGTAGACCAGGCTGGCCTCGAACTCACACATATCCGCCTGCCTCTGCCTCCCGAGTGCTGGGATTAAAGGAGTGCGCCACCACTGCCCGGCTAAATAGTTTTATTCTTAGAAGATAAATTCTTTAAAATAGTAGGTTTTCCCACCTTTCCTGAAATGTATCTTCCAGTAAACAACACACTGTTCCAAGTCGTGCTCACTTGAGCAGCACTCCAGCTTCATTACCTGACATTACTGTGTATGTCACTGCTTATTAAAACAAAAAGCCAGCTTAACTCTTACATTGAAAATAAAGCCAGCCTTGGGGTCACAAAGCTGCTAATGCCAACTGCCTTCAATATTCAATTAGTAAGACAGTACTGTTCTGCCCACCCAATCTATTCACTCACTAAATATGTATTTTTCCAATAGAAAACGTAATTTTTTTAAAAAAAATCAGTTTTTCTCTAACAGCAGACCATCTATATAACTTGAAGCCGTGTGGGCAGATGAAGATGTTCATTACCTCATTATCACAGTCAAAAAACAAAACAAAAGATACATCCGCCTTCCCATCCATGGTCTTGTTCCAACCTTGAAGGTTATCTTGATTTCTTGGAAATCCATCAATCAAGAATTTATTCTTCTGAGCATTGGCAGCCATTGTTTGGTCCATTTCCTAAAGAAAAAAAGACTTAGCTCAATACTGTATCACCGAATGACAATATCTTAAGCAGAATAGTGGGCACACGACTGGCTAGGCTACTGTTATTGTTCCCTAACACAAGAGGGGAAGATACATAGGGAAACATACTAGACAGAAATGAGCCAACTTCTTGATAAGGTTGCCTCAGATGGTGAGACTATAGGTATGTGCTCCCCTATTCTCTCCCCCTCCCCTTCTGTAGTTTCCTTACTTATGAAACATATCCTATAGAGTACATGTTGACTGTCCTCGGAAGTTAAGTGTTAAAAGCTTGGTCTCCAGGGGCTGGGCGTTGTTGGTGCACACCTTTAATCCAGCACTCGGGAGGCAGAGGCAGGCAGATCTCTGTGAGTTCGAGACCATCCTGGTCTACAAGAGCTAGTTCCAGGAAAAGCCTCTAAAGCCACAGAGAAACCCTGTCTTGAAAAACCAAAAAAGAAAAAGCTTAGTCTCCAGGGTAGGCCTACCTTTAGGAGAGTCGCCTCATTGATCATTGGGAATACATTTTTTTTTTTTTTAATTTCAACTCAGTTTGTCACCAGATTTTTTTTTAAAGCTTATCAAGCCACAGTTTTTGTTGTTGTATTTGTTAAGATTTGTTTATTTATTTTATGTATATGAGTGCTCTATCGACTTTATGCCAGAAGAGGGCTTCAGATACCACTATAGACAGCTGTGAGCCACCATGTGGTTGCTGGGAATTGAACTCAGGTCCTCTGGAAGAGCAGCCAGTGCTCTTAACTGCTCAGCCATGTCTCCAGCCATGGGGAATATGTATCTAAAGGGGACTGTTGGATCCTGGCCCTTTTATCTCTTTGCTTCCTGGCTAAGAGGTAAGCAGTCTGCTTTACCACATGCATCATTGCCATCTAGCATCACTATAAGCAGGTTAAACCATGTATCTACCTGACTAAAATGTTGGTACAGTGATAGCTGATCAGCACAGTGTGTATTACATTCTCATGCAAATTACCACTAACCCAGAGCTTTGCTCCAGCATCTAGAGACCCTGTGATGCCCTCGTGTTTCTCATCTTTAAACCACTGTGCTGTAAGAGGTACAGGCAGGGACTCACTCCTGTAACTTGGGCTGGTCTCCAACTTGCTATCTTCCTGTCTTAGCCTCTCAAGAGCTAGGGGTATGGTGTGCACCACCACCCACTGCTGAAAACGTGCTCCATCTATAGGAGCTTGAATTCACTACACTTCAAATCTAATAGCTAGAAGCTGGGAAAGCATTCTGTTACTGAACAACATACCCAGTCTTTTTACTTTTTTGTTTGTTTTTCATTTTGAGACAAGGTCCCACTTAATTCTCCAAGTTAGAGTGAATGAGAGATTCCCTTACTAAGTAAGAGTTGGGTAGTTAATCCAGCCAATAGCCAAGACAGGAAATAAAGAAACACCATACTTTAGCTTCTGGCATGACTTTGAGACATTTATAAGAATTTTAGGTAGAGGCCTGATAGAAATATATCTGGAACCTAGAACAAAGGTTTATGTTAATCGGGCATTGGTGGTGTACACCTTTAATCCCAGCAATCGGGAGGCAGAGGCAGGCAGATCTCTGTGAGTTCAAGACCAGCCTGGTCTACAAGAGCTAGTTCCAGGACAGCCTACAAAGTAATACACAGAAACCCTGCCTCGAAAACAAAACAAAACAAAACAAAACAAAAAAAAAAAAAAAAAAAAAAAAAAAAAAAACCAAACCAAACCAAAAAAAGGTTTATGCAGAGCTGTAGAGTTCAGAAGCAGTATTGGCACAGTGAAAACATGGGCATGGTTTAAACAACCAAGCAAGGAATATATAAAATGAGAGCTGAAGAGAACCAAACTCTACGAAGCATAGTGGTTTAGAAAACTTGCAAAGGGGAGGGGGGAATCAAGATACTGAAAAATACCAGTTCTTGCAGTAGGAAGAGAATAAACAGATGATGTTTCAAGAAACGAGTAGAATTAGTTTCAAAGAAACTTGTTTTGTTTTGTTTTTCAAGACAGGGATTCCCTGTGTAACAGCCCTGGACTAGGCTGGTCTCAAATTCACAGACACCTGCCTGCCTCTGCCTCCAAAGTGCTAGGATTAAAGGCATGCACCACCATGCCTGGCTCAAAAGAGACATCTACTAATTAAGAGTTAAAAACTACAGGAAAAATATAGACTGAAAGTATTCTCTGGGCTACACAGGGAAGATCACTGATAACATGCAAGAAGAGTTCTGCTTATAATCACAGCTGAAGTTGGAAGATTTCAAGTTCAAGAACTACCGATGGAATTCAAAGCCAACTGGACAACCTGGTAAGAGCCCATCTCAAAGACAGCAAGTATAAAAAAGGCTGATGACACAGCTAAGTGATGATACTTGCCAAACATAATCAAAGCCTTATATTCAATCTCCAGTATCACACACAAAAAAAGAACAGTTTCAATGGAGATGTCAACCACCCTTTCATAATGCTACCCACCTATAATGCAGAAGAAGGCATTAGAGCCAGAGGACAGAACTGTAGATTTATTTACTCTGGAAAGGAAGCTGGTTGCTCCAGGCTGAGGCAAGAGGCAGACTGTGTAAGAGCCACTCTACACCTCAAGTGTTTCCAGTTACTCCCAGGATTCCCTACTGGGATGCATTTATTGCTTCCTGTTCCAAACATTGCTATTCCATGTCACTGATTCTTTTATGTCAAAATACCTGTTACTGACTGGTTTTAGGGATCTACAGCAAAGCATTACCAAAGTATATTTTTTAGATCTCACAATGAAAATGACAAAAAAGGAGACTTCAAAACAGAATATCAACAATGAGAAAAACATAAGTGGGAGGTAGGGAAGGAGAGGACAAAGATTTCCAAGAAAAAAGAGGAGGAAAGAGCAAGGAAAGGGGAGAATAACCCCAAATGGAAAACAATAATTGAATAATTGAATGCTGGGAAGGACAGATCAAGTGCCTGTAAATCCTAATAGGCAGATGCAGGAAGATCCCTGAAGATACAATTTCTGGGCCAGCTTAGGCTACATGAGACTGTTTCAAAAACAAAAAAAATTCTGTAAGTACTTTAAGCTGGACTTCAGCTGGTCTTGGACCACAGCAGAGAATACTTGCTGTCAAGTTCTTCACAGTGAAAGCAGTTTCCATCTCTGCCATTTTCAAAGACCACAACTACCTTCCATAATCAAGAAATTTAATATTGTTTTTTTTCATTATTCAAATGAATAATGTTTCTTGTGTCCTTAGTAGTTCTAATAGGTTGATATTCCTGTTCCTTACCCTCTTTAGTAAGCTGATGGTTATCTCAACTGGCACAATCTTTCCTTCTTTAATGTACTTTTCAATAAGTTCACCATACTGTGAATCTGGATTCTTCCTTTCATCACGAAGAAGCTCTCCAGCAGAAAGGTGTGTGTAGCCATATTTCTGGAACAAACAACATATAAAAATGAGAAGTCATTCAATCCAGTGAAAGGAGTACACATAGTTTTGTGTTAATTTCTATATTAGAATTTCTCTACAATAAAGCAGTTTTTGCTTATGGGGAAAATAAATACAAAAGAAAAACTTAAGAGATTTCATATAGTACAGTTTGCCTTACCCTTTCCTAACCATGTTTGCACAATGAAATCATCTCAACATTTATCTAGCTAGTCAAAGCACTGACATCTCACTATATTCCTTCACAAACACAATCAAAAGTTTACATGTAAGAATGAAAATTTCAACCAAAAATCTGAGACTCAAGACAAAAAGTCAACATGTCTAAATTGAATTCATCTCCACTATGACCAACTCCATTCTTCTATCCTCTGCCTTTTCTCAGTAAATAGCACATGACTACCTATGCCAGGAGATGAGCTTTCTTGACTACTCAGAATGCCCAAACAATCTGCCTCACCACTCAGGCAAGTCTCTTCAAATCCATTTCCTAACTTTGTACTCCTAAGAAGTCTCATTTATAAAATGGGAATACAGATACCTATTTTGTAAGCTTGTGGTCATGGGTAAATAAGATAATGTACATAAATCACCTAATACATATTAGGAGATATGAGCCATCAATTGTGTCCTTGTTATCATACTTTCTCTCTCTGTGTGTGTGTGTGTGTGTGTGTGTGTGTGTGTGTGTAGGTTAAACATGCAAGTAGTGTGCATATCCATGTATAGACTAGAGAGCAGGTTCCATCTACCTTGTTTTTTTGGGACAGGGTCTTTCACTGGCCTGGAACTTACTATGTAAACTAGGCTGTCTGGCCAGTGAGCCCCAGGGATCTGCTTATCTCTGCCTCTACAGTGCTGAGATCACAATCACCCACCACTATGCCCTGCTTTTTTACATGAGCCCTGGGGATCAGACTCATGTCTTTATGCTTGTACAGTAAACTCTTTACAATGACTGATCTGTCTCACCAGCCCAAGATACTTATTTTTAATAGTGTTTTTTTTTAATATTATACCGTCATATACAATGTTTTGATTAATAAGAATCACATATATGCCGGGCAGTGGTGGCACACGCCTTTAATCCCAGCACTCGGGAGGTAGAGACTGGCGGATCTCTGTGAGTTCAAGTCCAGCCTGGTAGACCGAGCAAGTTCCTGGACAGGCTCCAAAGCTACACAGAGAAATCCTTTCTTGAAAAACCAAAAAAATAAAAAAAAATAAAAAAAATTAAAATCCCATATACAGTGGTGGTCCTGTAACATTAAAATGGAGCTAAAACTTCCTATCACCTAGTAACATCTAGGCACAATATACACTCACTCATTGTGGTGACACAATATACACTCACTCATTGTGGTGACAGATAACACTAATGTACTGCCAGCCATATAAAGCTATTGCACATAGATAGGAAGAGAATACAATATGTGATGATAAATGACTTATATTACTTGCTTTTCTGTTTACTATACTTTTATTATTATTTTAGAGTATATACCTTCTAATTATAAAATAAAAAATTCACTGAATAATAGTATGCCATGTTACTTGAGCATCAGACTCATATATCTCATGCATTTCATGTTTACCTTCACTGCAGCAGGGATCACATCAGTACTTGACCTATATATCATATGGGTTTGTCCAAGTTCAAACAATCTTATGATATTTGAACAAAACTGCCTAGTGGTGCATATCTCCATCATTAAATGACACATAAGGACAAGGATAGAAAAGAAATGTTGCTGAGTTAACACCATAAAGTATATCCATAAAAACTAAAATGACTACAATACCATTAGGTGATATGATCTTCTGTGACTAAGTTGTACATGCGGCCTTGTGACTAACTGAAATTATAATGTAGTACAAGATATACACACATACTAAAGGTTTTACTAAAAAAATCAATCAAGGGCCTTAGGCGAGACAACAGATATGATTATCTATGAAATGTCAACAACATAGTATTATAATGGCAATGGCAACAGACTCATAATGAGATACTAAGGCAAGGGAGAGTGACAGTTAAAGCTAAATCACAGAACACATGAAGGTATTGCATTGCCACTTCTTGAGTGCAATAAGGAACCAACAGTCTTAAGTGAAGATCCTGAATAATGAAAAGCATCCTCATAAGAATTGACATCTTGCCAGACATTGGTGGTGCCTGTCTTTAATCCCAGTACTCAGGAGGCAGAGGCAGGAGGATCTCTGTGAGTTCAAGGACAGCCTGTTCTACAGAGCAAGTTCCAGGACAGGCTTCAAAGCAATACAGTGAAAACCCTGTCTCAAAAAACAAACAAAGAAAAAATTTACATGTCTAATTCTATTAAACCAAAAGAATGACACAACCCATTCTCAAATATTAGGATACTCATATTCAATATATATTCATACAACATATCTCACTCCAAATCTTAAGACTCCTTCAACGAGTTTTTAGTTTGCATATATACAACTTAAATGCAGCCCACACCATCACCCCACTTTTAAAGTGTCAGTGTGTATGCATCTGTAATTCTAGCTACTCAAGAGACTGAGGCAGGAGTACACTGAGTTTAAGGCCATTAAAAAAAAAAGCATTCTGTTAATTTCTTAAAAATCTTCAAATGACCAAGGCTATAAATGAGCCGTCCAATACATCTTTATTCCCATTCCATTTCCCAAAAGTGTTGGCTAAATTTATCCTGTTCACTAACTAGTAAGGTAGCAATAGCGCTATTAGCAAAGGAAAACAAACTTTAAACAAGGTATTTACTGAGTAAACTTGGATATAAAGTTGGATGAAAATATATAAATATTGGAGGCTGGAGAGATGGCTCAGAGGTTAAGAGCCATCTGCTCTTCTGGAGGTCCTGAGTTCAATTCCCAGCACCCACATGGTGACTCACAACTATTCATAATGAGATCTGGTGCCCTCTTCTGGCCTGCAGGCATACACAGAGAACACTATACAACACAGTATAGTGTTCTACTATACATAATAAATAAATAAAACTCCCCAAAAGAAAAAATATATAAATATCATACTATCATCACATTTATGTCTCATTCCTATAAATGCTTCTAGTAAGAGAAATTATCAAAAGTGCTAAAATTGCAATCAGTTTAAAAAAACTCCCATTATTCACAGAAAAAAAATATAAAATTGTTCAATTACTTCCATACTGGTTGCTAAGTGCCTAACCTGATCACCTAGTATACAGGCAAATGCCTAAAAGTTGAGTACAAAAAGACTTGATGAAAAATAAAGTATGACCTACTTTCCCACTTAGTATGTACAATTTTCAAAAAGCATTTTGCAACTACTGTCCACAAAACTTTACAGCAGCTTCATTTCCCGCTGTTTATTTTGGCTTTTACTTGGAAGCCTCTGCTTGCCGGATGTTCTATTCTGGCTTAATCCTTTGTATATGGTAACACTGAGCAAATGCAGAGGAACAACCCTAACGATGGCAAGTGCTCAGTGACAACACCACCAATACAGAATGCTTTGTAATGTGTCAGTGTGAACCATACACATTCAGAAACCTGGCTAGTAATTTACATTACTATACAATACTATACAATACAGAAAACAATACTCACTGTTTTCTGACATTGGAGAACTCAAATTGGCAAGATTTATATTGTCTTAAAGCGGGATTATATTATATTCCCTTTCGTGGGAAAAAGAAGAAAACTAGTTATAAATCGGATCTATAGAGACATATATAATATGCACATGGGTGGCATTTGTAAAAGCATTTCTTTTAGATTTTATTTTTATTTTTAAATTTTGTGTGTATGCGTGTGAGTGTAGGTTTGTGTATGTAAGTGCTGTGTCTACAAAGGCCAGAAGAGTGTTGGATCCTCTGTTCAGAGGGATAAAAAGGCACCATGTTCTCAGTAAGAACAAAACAGTATCTTCTTTTACGATAAACAGGCAGGTGTCAATTTATGGCATCCACTCAAACTACTGTGGCATAGTCACTGTTCTGTTCTGTTGCTGGGAAGAGACACCATGACCACAGCAACTCTTTTAATAGAACGCATTACACTGAGGGCTTGCTTACAGTTTCAGAGGGTTAGTCTAGAATCAAGGCAGGAAGCAGAGAGGCATGGCATCGTAGCAGTAGCTGAGAGCTTTACATCCTGAGGTGAAACCTCAAAGCCACTCCCAATGCCACATCTTTTCCAACAAGGCCACATCTCCTAATCCTTCCCCAAATAGTTTCTAAGGACCAGACATTCTAATGTATGAGATTAGGGAGGCCACTGTCATTCAAACCACCACACATTTTAATTAAAAAAAAAAAAAAATCACCTTTTAGCAACTGCCTTTCTTTCCTTTCAAAAGTTAGGTAATATTGGGTCCTGGGACATTCTTCAGTGGTACATCACTTCACACACACACACACACACACACACACACACACACACACACTCTTAAAATATAATAATTGTACAATGTGGTTCTATATAATCCACAAAAACAAAATAAAAACACAAAATTAGGAGAGTTGGTATATACCTGTAATCCCAACACCAAGGAAGCAGCAGAAGCAGGAAGAATCAGGAAGTTGAAACAAGCCTTGGCAATGTAAAACACTGTCTTAAAGGAAAAAGAAAAAGCAGAGTTCAAGGCACAAATGATGTATAAATGCAAGGACCTTGAAGGCAGGAAGATTTGAATGCCAAGCACCTCATCTTCCTGTTTTTGTGGGATTTAAAAAGTACCACTGAACTGCCACAGGACCTCTCCTTAATTTCACAAAAGGAAAACAACAGAAATATAAGCTACAGATAGAGCTCTAAAGAAAAAAACACTTTCTGCTGGACATAGTGGTGCATACTTTTAATCTCAGTACTTAAAAGGCAGAATTGGGTTGATCTCTGTGAGTTCAAGGCCACTCTGGGCAACAAAGGGAGATTCCCCATCTCAGAAAACAAACAAAAACCTTATTTATTATATCTATGTATATGTATGTGGGCATGCGTGTGCAGATAAGAGGATAACTTGCAAAAACTGGTTCTCTTCTTCTACGATGTGCATGCTAAGGATGCACTTTACCTAATAAGCCATTTCTCTGGTCCTCAAAGTCCTTATTATTTTGGGTCTGGAGAGAGGGCTCAGTGAGTATGTGCTTGCCTTACAAGCAAGAGGACCTAAGTTCAGATCCTAAGTACCCATAGATAAGAGGGGCATTACCATGCAGAGTCTATAATCCTGGGGCCAGGGGCAGTCACAGTCTAGTCAAAATGGCAAGCTCCAGGTTAATGAGAAACCATCTAAAAAAAAATAGGCTGACCACTGGGCATGGTGGCACATACCTTTAGTCCAGCACTTGGGAGACAGAGGCAGGATTTCTTTGAATTCCAGCCAGCTTGTTCTATACAGTAAGACTTTTCAAACAAAAACCAAAACCAAACAAAATAAAAGTCTGCACAAAGCCTTCAACGTAGAGGTTCTAAAAACTGGCATCACAAATATTTCAGAGCATAATAAATATGATGAGAATTTCTCTTGTTTGTTTATATTTTCTGCTTATTTTTTTCATAGATGGTTCAAGAGCTTTTCAATCAACTAGCAGTGACTAATCAGAAAATATTCATCTAGTGAGGGACAGTGAGTTGACTCACTGGGTCAGAAGTATTTGCTGCACAAGCCTGACAACCTGGGTTCAATGTCCAGAATTCAAGCTGGAAAGAGATAACTGGTTCCCAAAAGTTATCCTTTGATCTTCATACCCAGGTCTTTGGTATGATGCTGTAAATGCACACATGTCTCCCTACCCCTGCCATACACACACCCAAATAAAAAATTAAAATTAAAAAAATACACTTGAAAATACTTCATTACAGCTGGGAGTTGGTGGCGTACGCCTTTAATCCCAGCACTGGGGAGGCAGAGGCAGGCGGATCTCTGTGAGTTCGAGGCCAGCCTGGTCTCCAGAGCGAGTGCCAGGATAAGCTCCAAAGCTACAGAGAAACCCTGTCTCGAAAAAACCAAAAAACAAAAACAAACAAAAAAAAACTTCATTACAGTTGAGTGGTGGTGGCATATGCCTTTGATACCAGCACCCAGGAGGCAAAAGCAGACAGATCTCTGAGTCCAAGGCCAGCCTGGTCTACAGAGAAAGTTCCAGGACACCAAAACTACATAGAGAAATCCTATCTCAGGGTGTATGTATTGGGGGGGGGGCGGTGGCAACAAAATGAAAAACAAACTAACAAAAACAAACAAACAAACACCATCTCATTAAAATAGCAATAAAAGAACAGGTGAAATGGCCCAGTGGGTAAAGGTACTTGCTGCTAAGCCTGAGGACCTAACAATCCCTAGAACACATTTAAGGAGAGAACCAACTCCAGCAAGTTGCCCTCTGGTTTCTGCACATAAGCACACACATTTTTTTTTTAATGTAATAAAAATAATGATTTGAAAATTAAATTTAGGCTGGGCAGTGGTGGCACATGCCTTTAGTCCCAGCACTCGGGAGGCAGAGGCAGGTGGATCTCTGTGAGTTCAAGACCAACCAGCCTAGTTCCAGGACAGTCTCCAAAGCCACAGAGAAACCCTGTCTCGAAAAACCAAAAAAAAAAAAAAAAAAAAAAAATTTTAGGAGTAATCCAAAAATATACTAAATATACTGTGTAAGAATTACTTGAAGGGGGGGGATAGAGGGAGAAGGGATTGACATGTGAAGCAGCCTTGTTTCTAATTTGAACTAATAAAAAAATAATCTCTTGGGAAAGCAAAAAAAAAAAAAGAAAGAAAAAAGAATTACTTGAAGAAGTCAGGTGGTAGCGGCATATACCTTTAATCCCAGCACTCAGGAGGCAGACACAGGCAGACAGCTGTGAATTCAAAGCCAAGGATACACAAAGAAACCCTGTTTCAAAAAGACACACACACACACACACACAAAGAAATACATGAAGAAAATGAACATTGTATTTACAGCATAAATAAAAGCCAAATCACAAAAAGGAAGCATTCTCCAGTGGATGATCCCACACCCATGTCCGTATGGGCATGGATCAACTATATTCAGTGGGCTACTCAAGAGAAAGGACAGAAGTTGGGAGAGAGATGTGTTGGAGGAACACCCCACGAAGTTGAAAGGAGGGAGTCAGATACATTGTGTACATGTGTGAAATTTTCAAAGAATAAGAAGAAAGAAAATATTCTATATCCTAGGAAAGATTCCTACTGAAACATTTGCTTTTTTTATATATTAATTAAAAAATTTACCTCCTACTGGGTGGAGGCAGAAATGATGGGTCAATGTAAGCTCCAGGCTAGTGAGGGCTATACAGTCAGATCCTCTAAATTAATAAATTAATAATTTTTTAACTTAAATATTAAAAATCTGATTGGAATTGTCTGTTTGCTTTGTGGTACTGGAGCTCAAACACAAAGCCCCTGAACATGGTAGACAAGGGGCTCTGCCACTGAACTAGCTACACACCAGCCATGTTAGCTTGCTTTGGGAAAAAAAAAAAGTTGGTGAATTTATTATCAAGTTTATAAGAAATAAGCATGAGTAAAATTTTCAAAATTGAAAATAATATTAACAACTACAAATGAGGAATTCCCTAGCTATATAAAATATTATAACACTACAATAATTAAAATAGTGTGTTACTGATATATAAAATAGGCATAACAATGCAGTCCTAAGACAGAAAACAGAAACAGGCCAAGTACTAATGTGAATTCAGTGATAATCAACACCTGAGATACAGGAAGGTTGTTGCTAAGCAAAGTAAAAAAGATATGGTTTATGTTTGATCCCATAAAAACTTTTGAACAAGGCAAAACTATAAATGAGCTGCTAGGGATATGGCTTATGAATGTCTGTGATCCCAGCACTCAAGAAACTGAGGCAGAAAGATCAAAAGTTTAAAGCTAGCCTGGGCTACATAGCAAGATTGTGTCTCAAAAAAGCAAAATGAGTTTGGTGCTTGGCTCATAACTATAATCCTAGTCCTAAAGAGGCTAAAGAGAGACTACCTTGAGTTTGAGACTAGCCTGTGCTACCTAGTAGGCTCAAGGTCAACCTGGGCTAAAAAAAAGGACAGGCAACAGCTTACATGAAACTACTTTTGTACACAAGATATGTTCATTATATAGTACACTATATACAATGTATATAAAGAAAAACCAGCAATAAAATATTATATATAAAAACAGGCAAGCTGGTAATGTGCCATTCACCTATAGTCTGAAGCTAAAACAGAAAAACCACTTTAGCCCAGGATTGGACATCAGCTTGGGTCTATAAGGGGGGAGGGGGTGAACAAGCATAAAAACAAACTATTCATAAGAGGGTTAAAAAAACCAAACCAAAGATAGGCAGTGATGGTGCATGCCTTTAATCCCAGCACTCAGGAGGCAGAGGCAGTAGGATCTCTGAGTTTGAGGCTACCCTGGTCTACAGACAAAGTGCCAGGTCAGGCTCCAAAGCTACACAGAGACCCTGTCTCAAAAAACAAAAACAAGGAGGCTGGAGAGATAGCTCAGAGGTTAAGAGCACTGGCTGCTCTTCCAGAGGTCCTAAATTCAATTCCCAGCCACCATATGGTGGCCCACAACCATCTATAATGATATCTGGTGCCCTCTTCTGGCCTGCAGGCAGACATACAGGCAGAAAAAAACAATAACAAACACAAAAACAGAACCAGGCAGTAGTTAGTAGTGCATGCCTTTAGTCTCAGCACTCGGAAGGCAGAGACAGGTAGATCTTTGTGAGTTTGAGGCCAGCCAGCCCAGTCTACATAGTGAGTAGTGAGTTCCAGGACAGGACAGCCAGGACTACCAAAAGAAAAAGAAAAAAAAAAAAAAAAAAAAACTCTACCCCAAAAAAAGCTCTACCTCACAAATGCAAATAAAGACAAAATTATTCTTCCAGTTTCTACTCAACAGATTGATTCTAGTATTTTAAAAAGCAGCAATAGCAGTCAGGCAGTGGTGGCACACGCCTTTAATCCCAGCATTTGAGAGGCAGAGGCAGGCAGATCTTTGTGAGTTCAGGGCCAGTGTGGTTCCAGGACAACTGGGGCTACACAGAGAAATCCTGTCTCGAAAAACTGAAGAGGAAAAAAGAGCAGCAATGGCAAGAACACAGGGACACGAATATCAATATACTTTGTTCAACCTTTATAGAGGGTGAGTGGTCAGTAAATTTAAGATTTAGTTTGTGCATCTTTTGACTCAGTAATTCAACTTCTGGGCTATTGAGATAGCTCAGCAATAAAGCCACTTGCTGCAAGCCTCTGGAGACCTGTATTCAGTCCCTAGCACCATCAAGGTAGAAGGAAAGAACCAACTCCTACAAACTGTCCATATACCCATACCCATACCCAATAAAATAAGTACTTTTAAAAGTTAACAGTTCTGCCGGGCGTTGGTGGCACATGCCTTTCATCCCAGCACTCGGGAGGCAGAGGCAGTCGGATCTCTGTGAGTTTGAGGCCAGCCTGTCTCCAGAGCAAGTGCCAGGATAGGCTCCAAAGTTATACAGAGAAACAGTTCTAATAACAGTAAATTCAGCTCATTAGTGTTCAATGGTAGAGCATCCTGTACCTTCCCAACCACCTGGTTCCAAGAGAAAAGGAAACTGACCCTGCACAATCAAACTTACTTCAAATGTGAAAGCAGATCATCACTTAGAAAATGACAGAGATGGCTCAGCAGTTAAGAGCACTATTTGC